ATTAATATATAAAAACAATATCAAATAATCTCAAAATATGCATAGGACTGGATGAAAATTATATAGAAAAAAGCTTTATTTGAGATGTGTAGTAGTAATTTTCTAAATAATTTGTCAAAATCATGACTTAAAATTATTAACCTCTGTGATAGCAAATTGCTCGTAATATTTTGCAAGTACAAAAATTTACCTGCACTTTTTGATGTTTAATAAAATTGTTAAATAATTTTGTTAACATTACGTTCCACATTTTATTTCATAACCACTAAAGTAAATCACATCAATTAATAATCATTAAAAATATATCATGTGTTTAATTAGTAATATTCAAATATTGTTGACTTAAAGAAAATTCTCGCAAATAACCTGTTCGATTCAAATATATCACATGGAAAATTCACAGACGATGTGTCGACAGCTGATTTGTGTATACGTATATATATATGTAAAATATAATATCCGATTCTCAAATGGAGATATCATTTTTCAGGAACAAAAGTCTCTAGAAAACAAGTTCTCCTATTGGACATCCAGCGTTACTTCCTTCCGATAAGTTTCGGAACACGATGCTAAGTGCGCCGCTTTGCGGTTGCATAAAACTTCTGTTGCACCGGTTTTAAATCAAACACTTGAATTTTGGCATTTGTCTAACGGCTTCGGGTCTTGCACACTTTCTGAAGCAAAGCTACGAATATATCGCGTGTATTCAGGTATGTATTTCTTTTATTAAGTGGATTGAAAGCGACTGTGTGCTATTAAACTTTTCGTTAAATATGTCCATGATGAAATCGAGGTTAATTTCTGAAAATGCAAAGTTCACTTGAATCTGGAAATGGGCATCAAACTTCTTACATACGTACACGCAGCTCGGAAAAAATTTCCCACATTTAATTATTCAAATATCCGTTTTTAATCAGTAAGGAAACTTGACCCAAGGAATGAATGTTGCGGGGTATTCCGTATAATCATTCGAGCAAAGATTTAAATATAATAATGAGTAAGTTCATGACTTGTAAGATTTATTTTATAGACGTGATTTCATAAAATGAATATCATACCATACGAAGTTTCCTCCATAATTTCCTTCTAACTCACTCTTGCTCTTAAAACATCAAACTCGCCCACACATACACTTCAACATTAATTCGTTTTAATATATGTTTATCCGTCTACCTTATAAGGCAGAAGATATTTTGAAAGGACATTGGAATTTATTTTTATGATATATCAAAAATCCAGTTAAGGAAATTACTTCTTGAATTCTTTTCTTTTCCTTTCTATCCCTTTTTATTGCCGCTAATACTGACATTACTCATGGGTTAATCCCAAAAGCCACAACAGGTTCCAACGAACGCGTCGACTTTAATCTGTGTCTCTTTACGAGCATTTCTCCTTGCTCATCGCTCGTTTGGGGAGATTCTTCGAAATCTCAATAAGATTTATTCATTATCAAGCCCTCCCATTAAAAAAAAGCTATCTTCGATATCTGCTTTAAAAATAGGATTTCAAAAATATCAGTGATATATCAAGAAAATATAAGACCAATTGCACTGATTTTCCTGTTTCCACTTTTTCCTTCCACTATCTCTTTTATTACGACATCGTCGTAATGAACTCACGTCGCACCAAAGTAATCCCTAATCATCAATTTTCATTATCCCAGTCTTTCTTTGTTATAAAATACATTCCCCTCTTCCGCTTTATTATTACACGTGTTCGAGCACAGATTCGGAGCGCCCGAACCTCTCCGAGAACCAGTGAAAATCCGTTACAATTTGTTACAAAGCGAACAAAGCCCAAAGTATCTCAAAGTACGAATCGCGCGCCCACCGGAAATTTCCGAACGCTGATTCTGACAAAGGCAAGCTTTCTCGCGATTCATCCGATAGCTTTAACGAGCGGAAACGGAGCACAATTGTGGCCCTGTTGATACAAAACCTCGTGCAAACTTCCCGTACCGCGCGGGAATTACGCTCCGACACATAATACCGCACCCCGCGCGCGATACACATATTAAACGCGAGCGATGTCACTTGCGCGAAGAGTTAATAGAGCAAAAATGATTCATAAGGACAACATGTGTGCCGCGCAGAATAACGAAACCTGACGAACAACGACAACCGCTAACCGCGACGTTACGTTAGCGATAACTCCTCGCTAATGTATGCGTACTATCGCGCGCTGCGGATGTTTATATAAATATGTATGTTTTTGCAGAAAACGTGTAGAGAACCGTTTTGACTCTAGTCAAACGTATTTTCCCATGCGGATACGAAAAATTGCGAATACAGATAAGAACATTTTCTCTCGATAAGAACCGATCAAGAATATTAAACACGACTCCGAACGTCATTTGATCGCGTGTGTAATTAGGTTTTCTAAACATCTTCAATCTTTATATCGTCTCAGCATTATTATTAAAATAAAGAGAAAGGAAAAAAAAACTATTTGAATTCTTTGTTGTCGACGTACCTTAATTCGAGAAGAGATGTTTGTTTTCTCAGTTTATTCGTCCCAGATCGCTCCTATATCTTAAGATGTATTGTCACACCTCGACGTTTGCATTACCTAATTGATCAAGCTGCATGAAGGAACCCGTAGGTAGGCATACTTTATCGAACACTTCTCGCAACGCTCCATATTTCACGTGATGTCACGTTTTATATCGAGATGTACATACACTGTTCGCGGGAAAATTAGTTCCAACGTGAGGCAACTGTCTGATGATGAATCGTTTCCTTCTCAAAGTACCGTCATTGCCCAGCACCAGGGCACCTGCATGAATTCTAAGTGGATCGAGTTTTGGTGCGATCTACTTAGGCGGTGGTGATAAATAGCAGCATAAGTTATCTTTTTTCCTTTTCATTGCTCCATTTTGTTTCGAATAATTCGGAATATTTCGTATTGATAATTAGTTGAGTAAAATAAAATATAACGTCAGCATAAATTATAAATGAAAATACAAACGATTCATCTTTTCCTTATTGCGTCCGTATTTACATACTCGTAAATAAGATTTTATGAGTTATTGATAAATTATTATAATGAACTGCTATGAATTATCCATCTGTTAACTGTGTGAACCTGTTAATTTGATCTATTATCTATTTGGTCTATTATCTATTACCTACGTATATGCATAGAGGTGTCATAGAGATCACACATACATACGCACACACACACACACACACACACACCATACACACACATTATGAGTAACATTTAGATCTTAACGTATCTCTTACCTAGATCGTGTAATTGAATAGCCAGTGTTTTATATGCGCTTGCATTATCTCTTTGATCACGAATCACAATTTCATTACCGCATGAAGAAATTCATCTACGTGTTATTTTACATGATGCGTAAAATCGTTGCAAATCTGTTAATTGGATTGTAATGATTATCATATATTATACATTATATAATAATTATTATATCATAAAAGCATGATATTATACGAATGATGCGTGTGTTACTCCTTGTGTGGAATCTCCAGAAGACGTCTCAAGGAAACGACTGAAAAGGATGTTGAGGTATTATGTTTATACGCACTTCAATTTTAATCTACGCATATTCGACCGCCACTTACCCGGAAATTCCACTGCCACAATGCGTTATTCCTGTCAGTATCGTTAAAACCCCCTTATACGGATATCCTACTTGACGCGCCCAAATTTTTTTCGACCGCGTATCATCCAACTTCGGCTTGTTTGCGTACTCAGCATTATATGTAGACGAGAAATATCGCAGCCATTAATCTGCGAGTATTTTACATTCTAAATTGATCGCTGTAATTAGTAAAAATTATTAGTGACGCGCGTTTATCAGGGACTCGAGAAATAGAAACTCCTTTATCTAAATTTTCGATGACTCATACCTCGCGATGACTGAAAAATATTAATGCGATAAGATGCGACTTTCTTGCGAAAGGCTGTGTAAATTACGATTACAGAATCAATTACGTAGAATTTGAATATTTAGTTCCCTAAAATTAAACGGTGACTTCACGATACACTCTCAATTTTCTGTTATCATTTCATTTCCGTTATTTTTATGTTGCCATTGATAAATATGTGCGAGTGCAAATATAAATACATATGTTAAATCAAGTTACCATATTTTTAAATTTTAGCTGCGTATTGACTGAAATACTATCAACAAGTCAATAAAATTAGAAAACTATCTAAGTCTATAAAGTTAGAAAGTTAGAAAACGATTAACCATTATTCAGGAATCTGAGATATTTGCAACTGAAGATGACGCTTTTTATACATGATCCTTGAGGGTAATATCCTATTTTTAACTTCTTTTTTTAAATATAGTGGTTTTTTAAATAATTAAATATAGTGGTTTTTTAAATAAATAATAATAAACTTATGAAAGGGCTCACCTCAATATCGCTCTTAAAAATTCGTTACCAACTAGCTTATATGAGACATTTATCTTTTTTAAATTCACATGAAACCAACGAATGTATTCGTCGATTCCCTTTGAGGAAAACTCGCGACAATAAGTTTCCAGAGTGAGCATTATTTTATAATCGTCGCGCTGCTTCGCCGTTCGCTTGCTGCCTTTTTCAATTAAAACCAGCGATAACGCGTCAATTGCGGCTCTTCTGGCCTCGCCGTTCGCCTGCTGCCTATTTTAATTAAACCAAGTGATAACGCGTCAATTGCTTTCCTAAAATCCCTATCGTACATAATTGTATTTTTGACTCTTCGTATACGAGCGAATGAGACGCGGGAATCACATTATCGTCGAGTTCTTCGTCAACTTGCACATAGCGTTGAAACTTCGCTGACGTCTTTCTCGCATCATCATCATCGCCATCATCGGTCATCATTGGCCGCTCCCGTCACCGCCGCCGCAGCCGCCGCCGTCACTTACTCCGCCGCTGCCTCCGGGGAGAATAAATAAGAGATCGCCGACCGGTACTCTAGTAGTGCTCCCCGCTTGTTCTTCGGGCTAACGTGGTCGCGAAAACGTGTTTCGGCGACTCCGTCAGAGCGTGGAGATAGGGCGCTTCTCTCCCAAACTTCCGACCGCGAACCTAACTCCGACGGCCAGTCTACGCACATGGCACTCAGCGCTCGACTGTAAGGAAGCACGGAACCTCTCTCTTTCTCTGTAAGCAGGCACGAAGCCCGGTGTGTACACTTTGTGTGTACATAAGGCGATTCAACGACGCCTACGTCCTACGACCTGAGCGAAACCTGAACGGAGACACACGCGAAGGAGCGAACTTGACCCACATCCAGGAGAGACGTTGAAGCGAGACGCGAAATCGACACGCAAATCGACCGTAACGAAGAACTGTGACGAAGGTTCCTCAAGGATTCGCCGAAGATCGTAGTCGCTCACAGTCCGCTCACACAGGTTAGTGTTGATTTTCGCTAGAACAAGTTTCACTCTCTTTCTCTCTCGCTTGTCTTGAAGGGTTTTATTCGGAAAAAATATCGAGAGAATTGTTCGTCGCCGGTGTTTGTGTACAGGACAGATACCAATCGTTGGTATGGAGACGATAACTCTATCAGATATGATAGAAAGTTTTTGCGTGATACTGCAGATATTATCAAATGTTTCCTGCAGAAACCGAAGGTCTCGCTTTAATATGTTATTTTTTTAAATATTCATATCACTGTCGTTGGTACATAAATAGTGCTAGAATCATTTTATGAATTTCCTGTTCATTCCGAATGTCTCTCGTAGGAAAGGAATTTCGCAATATGCCTTTCAAAACAACTGTGCTCGAATCGTTGGTGCAAAAACAATAATAAAATGACTTTATAAGCTCCGTGTTTGTGTAATCATGTTTCTGTTGCGTTCCATATGTTTGCATAATATATTTATTATATGTTTTTTTTTTATATTTTTGGAATAACCCGCTCTGCGAAATAATCGTAGTCGAGTCATTAGTAGGAACGGTAATGAGATTGTGTAACAGGATGCGATTGTAATAGTGTGCCTTTACAAGTATCATTGATGCCAGTGAATGCTTCCCGTGAAACACAAAGATTTCGGAGTAATGTCCCTCTCTTTAGAATATCGTCTTGAATTATCCTTCCTTACTTAATTAGTTCTCGCGTAATGCGCGCAGTTAAAAGCTCATTATATCTTTTTACGCACAAATTGAGAACTTCATACTTAGCCGAGAACGTTTTTCTTAAGCAGACGGCTATGTATGATATCTCTTCACGGCTTTTTTCAATGCATCCCAAATCGGGGAGTGCAACGCGTGATAAATTAATCAAGTCGTCTTTACTTTCACCTGTCGCGACCTTCAAGATAAAATCAAATCCTGTTTAGAGGCGACATTTCGATTTTCGATAATTGAGAGAACGTTTTTTGTTGAATATAAAAACCATAAATTAGCATAGATAATGTAGAAATAACATATGGAGCAGAATATAAAGCAAACAAACAAAATGTGTGTACAGTAGCTCGCAAAAATTCGTGTAATATTATTATAATATTGTTCACTTTTACATTTTTTTCGAAAAACTAGTTAAATTTTTACTCAAATCGCAAGAAAGTAAATTATTAAGTAAATTAGTCTGATTAAGTAAATTAATCTCCTAATTAAGAATCTCCAGTGTATTAAGAATAGACATTATTAATATGACAAATTTGATTTCGCACAGCAAAATTGCTGTGGAAGATGACTGAATTAAATACGATCAATAATTGATAAAAGTACAATACATAGAAGAAGTTCCCGACAATTTTCAAATCTGATATTAATTTCGAGAGTCGATCGTTTGCAGTTGTTGAATCCCGACTGATTCGCCTTCATTCATCCCGGTTCCTCAAGGAAACTTAGTCATCACATTAGTAGTAAATTACAATGAAAGCGAAAGGTGAGATTATTTCAATTCTAGAGTGCGGAACGTTGTAAGTACGCTAAACACGTGTGTCCCGTCACGCACGAGGAAACATACGTGGACGTTGACACAAGCGACTTCCGTCAGATAGGCACGAAGATGAATGAAAAAAAAAACAGGATCAATCGATGTCGAACGTAATTCTAAAAAAATTTCACGCCATTAGCTAACTTTAAGACGGGAATTCCAGCCATCGAAGGCGTCATTATTCGATGTAAATGCAATGCGTCAGCCTGTAACGATAATATTTTTGTGGCGGCACGTATCGGAAAAATTGATTTTGTTCATTTTAAACGCACGCGTACAGCGCGGGTATCCCTGAAGTATCCCTTTACTTTTATTTACGAGTTCGTCGATCGAGCTTCACAGGATCACCGGAGCTACCTAGCGAGAATCATCCCGGAGATTACTTTCCGCGAAAACTCGCGACACTCAGCACGTCGCAAACGATTAATATTCGTAATAAATAATCGAGTGTCATTACTCCATCTTGGGAATGTCCGCAAGTTGTCCGGTGAGGACGGCCCGACGAGATACTCGTATCGCGCTCGTCGTGTGCAGTTTAACCCTAATCTATGCGCGTTCTCTCACCTGCCACTCCTCCGGGAATTCCCAACGGCATTATACGTGACTCCAGTCCGCCTCTTTAAGTGGCGTGTCTTAAAAACTTGCGCCTCTTCCACATCGTACCCTTATGCGCAGCTATTATCCGGCACGCCTAAAGACGCCGGGTTATTCCTGGCATAAATTTGCACACGTTGTGCCAAGTTGATTATTAAGCACAAAGGGAGCATTGTCGGTTTCGTTCTCGCGTTTATTGCAGAGAGTCTAGACATAGCGGCGGCTTTGTCCGGGTCCTCAATAGAAACGTACGCTCGTGATGACAGGATATTAACGCGATAAGACTGTATTTTCCAAAAGCTGAATCAGTTTATTTGTGACCATTATGTTAGGTAAAAATATTGCTAAACATCCGGTATTAATGGTATTCAGTTTCAACAATTCGTCTCATCGTCAGATACGTTTTAATTAAGCAGCGCATTTATTTATAAACGAGATAATTATCTTCTTTGTTGCGTGAACGAAATTTTAAATAAATATAATAATTATCTTTCAATGTCATGCGCTCAGAGAAAAAATATGTTCAGTTTGTCAGATCTGACAAATCATTTTTGTCCGAATAAGCGGAAATGTAACTATTCTTAAGATGTATGACATCCCGTGGATTCTCTTTATCTTTCAAATTTACATTGTACTTCGCAAGTGAATTGCCTCGAACGCTGCTACACACATAACGCATTCTCGGCGGTTTTCTTCATTCATTTCTTGAAGCCTAATGGAATTGATATTGAAATGTGTCCGTGGCTATTTCTCAATAATAATGAATACAGGATGCAGCGAAACATTAGATGGCTTGATATTGAGCGCTAGACAAATGATCATTAGGCCATTATCTTAATGGACATTGAAAGAGGCAAAAGTTAATTTTGTTGCGCGACCGCAAGCGGTAAGCACATTCAGGATTATATCTCATCGATTATACAAAATGTCCTAAATTCACGGAACGTTCCTTCGAAGTATCGATACTTATCGGGATAACCTTCTCCCTTTCAGTTTGTATTTATAGTCCGATACTTCACGACATAATTTAATGTTGCGTGCGTTTCGCGATTAGGATTAGCATAATTTAAGCGGTACTCGGAAATTCACCGGTAAACTTAGAGTAATTCGGTGAAGAATTCAATATAAATTAACCAACGTATAAATTAATCAACGTAGACTTAATCATCAGTCTTAATTGCGACTATATCGAATTCGACTTTTCGTTTCGCGCATATTTCCGGAGTGTAGATACATTTATCGAGCCACACTTCCGCACAGTAGTCTCATTATCTTTACAACAAGATATGTCTGGCACGATTAATTACGTTACTCCAAATCAATGACATTGCGAATATCGCCTAGGAAGTGATACAGGAGTGTCCCAGAACGACCGGACATCCTTTCAGTCAGTTTTTGCCAATTTTGAAATGCCTTCCTTCCTCGGCGGAAAGGTCAGCGGAGGTTATCGTAAAATTACATCTCTGATGACTCAACAAGGTATATTAAAAATTACGTGGAAATTCGACGCGAGTACGACACGCAAACAAACAGAACAGACACGCACTTCGATTCTTCCCGCATTCGAAATTTAGGCCACTTGTCATCACCATTATCATCTAGTCGCACATGTCGTTACTCTCGGCGATACATTAATATTGACGATAATAACGCGAACATCACGATGTATATCTCGCTGTGTTTGCGAATAAAAGAATACACTTCTTGGAATGACGCTCGTCGCTCATTTATACATGTATCCATCTATCGAGTAACTATATGAAACGCGTCATTACATGTCATTATGTTTACGAGGTTCCGCTGTCAATTGCTCGCGATGGATGCAGAATTTGCATTCACGGTCGCCGCACACGGTATCGGTAGCTCAGTTTCTACGATCTTTCGTTAGTTGAATTCCTTGAAGAACGTACACACTCATCGAGCCTGACGTTAAACTGTTACGTATCCCAACATTATCTTAGAGGCACATGTGATATTTGAAAAAAAAGATAGGGTACACGTACTTCTTCGTAAATACCTGATCATCGATCGGCTTTATCACTTCGAAGTGAATCCAATGCGAATTGAAACACGTTCGGTGTTCTCAGGTGGTATTTGAAATTATTACATTTAAATACTGGAGATTTGTACTATATTATTTATTTGTGCTATATTTAAGTTTCTCAAATCATTTGTTACATTGTTCACACGTTGTTCACCGCAATGTTCTAAGCGTTCTCTCATTTCGAGAACTAGAAGTTTATAATTTATTCTTTTATATTAAAATTAAAATTATTTTCAAGTAGACATAATCGATCGATTGGTTTAAATTCGTCATAACGATGAATTCCTATCGATTACTTTGAATTCGTCCCCTTCTCAAGACAACCCCGCAAGTAATTCCCCATCTATTTCCGCTTTGCAGGAAAGAATGGCTGCACGATTGTGGCTCTTATTATTTGGCCTTCTGGCTCTGGGTCGCTGCCAGAAGATAATTTACCCGGATCAATACGAGATAATGAAGGCGTCGAATCCACCTTACGCGTTCACAAACGACGGACGTGACTTGATCGGCAACAAACAGTCGGTACAGAATGATCAGCAATTCAAACCGCAATTCGCAGCTGCGGCTTACCCCTCGACAACGATCACAACACCGATACCTGCTCTACAACCTTTGCCGCAAGATTGGTCCACTCATGTAAGTTGCCACTGACCGTCCTTTGCGCATGTCGCTGCGGTTACGCAACAAATCGCTGCGATAACTACCGCAATCCTCCAGCGCAAATGAGCATGTAAGGTTGCGAGTCGCGCGACATCTCGGATGATATTCCGCGAAAGTAACGTCGATTAATAATAAACCCGCGAAGGGATCAAATCACGAATACAGATGCGATCTTCTCCCACGTAGAGCAAGAAATAACGATGACGTCAAAATGACGAGAAAACGATCGAAGAGTGAGTTTTTATAGCCGCCTTCTCGTCATTTTCACGTCACTTTGACTTCGTCGTGTTCTTCTACCTGGAGACTCCGGTTGTTTGTGAAAAATCAAAAGACTTCAAGAGTTGTTGCTCTTCCGTTTTCTACTTACCGATCTTGACCTTCAGTTTTGTGGTATCAGGATGATCGGTAAAATACAGCGGATTATTTCCACGGATGTCCGCGTATACGATAAAGGCGAATCATGAATGTCGTCGATTTCAGGTGAACAATATCATAGCCAGAGGCCTCACGAAGTTTTCCTTGGACTTGGACAGAGCGATTTACAATGTCAGAGGCAGTTCAGCGGCCAGCCATCGCGAAAACACGATCTTCTCGCCGCTCAGCATAAGCGTTGCGTTGTCGATGGTGCTGTTGGGCTCCGCCGGAAATACCTTCAGCGAGGTGTCGCGAGTACTCGGTTTGGAGGCCGGAGTCGACATATCCCAACACTCGGAAGTCGTTCATCAGATGTTCGGCCTGCTGTTGAACATCGTGAATTACAGAGTCGAAGGAGGCAACGGGCCGCGCGTCTCTTCCGCCAGCGGCATCTTCGTCCAGGTACTTAATTCACAACGCTGCTTCGCGATTATTCACGATCACGCACGAGGTGTGCCGCCTTTGTGCGTATCTCCAAGGTCTTGAAGTATATATAAGTCGGAAATATATTGTCATATAGAAGGAAAGGTCTGATTAATTAAAATGAAAGGGAAAAGCTTTACGGACGAATGTTGAAGTGTTAGTAGTACCAGGAGCTTAAGTCACGAATTATCGGGAGAAAGAAAGCGCTTACTCGCGAACTGAAACGCGCGACGATTTCCGGTCGTTCATCATTTTGCCCTTAGAGGGAAAAAGAATAAGCCTCTCTTCACATATCGATATTCGATGTTTCCAGGACGGATATCCCATTCGTCCTGAGTTCCGAGCGATCAGCCAGAACGCGTACAAGAGCGAAGTAATAAACCTGGATTTCCGAAAGAGAGGCGCCGAAGCGATGAACGTGATAAACAACTGGGTGAAGGAACGAACGAATGGGAAAATCTCCAGCATATTGTCGCAGCAGCCAGACCCGCTCACCACCGTGATACTCGCGTCGGCGCTTTACTTTAACGGCGAGTGGAATCAGCATTTCATAGATAGCGCTACGAAGAAGTACGTAAGATTTTAAACAAATTTGCCTTCGTCCGTAATCGACGATTCGCGATCAACAATGACGTTGCGTTGCAGGAAACCATTCTTCATCGAGCCGAACGAATCGGTCGAGGTTGACATGATGTACAATGGCGGTCCCTTCCCCTTTTACGAGGACAGGTCAATCGGCGTTAAAATGCTGCAGCTGCCGTACAAAGGAATGGAGGTGAGAGACGGCATGCATGGAGAAAAATCACCCGGGACGGCACATTTTGCGCGCTGCCGCAGCCGATAAATAAATGCACGAGGTGTTTCTCAAGTACACCGTCCAATTTGAGAGCTGATTTTAGAGATCCTTTTCTGAGGAAACGAACAGACGAATTTGTTCTCTTTACAAAGACGACTTAAAAAATCAACTCTTCAAATATTGACGACAGCATAAATTTGCCGTTCCTCCAAATTATTTTCGTGGAAATCAATGTGGCGATTAACGATGACACGGTCCATCGGATGCTCCCCGTTTAGGAAAATAACTTGTTTCTTCATCTTCAGATGTCTATGTACGTGCTTCTGCCGAAAGCCGAGGGCGCTGCCGCTCTGAAGAGATTCAGCGACCAACTGACAACTGACGTGATCGAGCATCTGATAAACAACCTGAAGAACGAGAGCACCATCATCGGTCTGCCGCGCATGAAACTGTCGAGCACGTTGACCTTGAAGAACGCGCTTCGCACTTTGGGTCTACAATCGTTGTTCGATCCAAGCAGTGCGGACCTGAGCATCCTGTCGAACGGATACGGTTCTCAGCCGGCCCCCGCTGTCGTGGCCCGTCCTTACGTGATTCCGCAAGCGGTGCGTCCTTACATGAATTCGCAAGCGACGCAAACGTCGAGCGTAACGGCGCGTCCGTATACGATCCCGCAAGCTGTACCGCAACCTATACCGCAAACGTATCCGCAAGCGTTATCGCAGAACGCGTCGCGAGCGTTGCCGGAAAACTCGCAAACGTTGTCGCAAGTGCTGTCGCAAGCGCTGCCGCAGGCGTTGCCGCAAGTCGCGAGCCAGCCGACTCTCAATTCCGTCAGCAACAACGACTTCTTGATCTTCTCGCGTTTCGGCCAAGATGGTAATCAGGACGCAGGCAACGGCATAAGGAGAAGTTACATCAGGTACGAAGATAAGCAACGCGGTGTTACCGTGGAACAGTGGGGCACAGGTTTTCATATTCGCAAAATTCGCAGAATACGTCGCGACACTGACGGACGTGACGCGTCTCGACTCGCGTACGTAACCAAGGAGAACCTCGCCAACGAGCCCCAACGTCGCGAACCGAGCACGAAATATGTCAGCCTGGAGGAGAACAAGTACCGCTTCCGGGACGCCGACGAGAGGAGGCGCGCGGACCGGAAGAAACGTCAGACCGCTCGACCCATGGACGAAAGCTTCCTGAGGTTCATCCAGAGCCGGAACTTCCAGACCTACGGCCTGGACGAGCTGCGGAACAACGCGCAACTGACGAATCCGGGCCTCTTCGCCGACGAGGTGCTGCACAAGGTGGAGATGGAGGTGACGGAACGCGGAACGGAAGCCGCGGCGGCGACCGCCGTGCTCCTCGAGCGTGACGGCAACCAGAAGCGGCTGATCGCCAATCGGCCCTTCCTCTTCTTCATCCGGCACGATCCCACCGGACTCATTCTGTTCTGGGGAACGGTCAACACCCCGACTCCGAATTACACCGCTGCCAGATGAAACGACGAACTACCTTGAACGTTCTCGGGGATTTACAGAGTTCCTCTTCAATCATTCGCGCACTCGAGCGAATGAGCATTCACGCGCGCGCGTACACACACACACACACACACACACACAGGCATGCTCGATTATTTTCTACGTATTTATATATTCGCTCTCTCTCTCTCTCTCTCTCTCTCTCTCTTTCGACTCGAGCAAATGTAATTATTCTCGCGCCTCGCCATTTTCCTCGTCTCCTTCTTATTTTTTTTTTCTTTTGTACTTTGTATCGCAGCGCGCACACACACCGCTTCCGTCTTGAGCTTATCACGCGATCACATCGTCCTGCCTCCGCCTTTCCGTTTTATTATTTATCCCGCGTTCGTATCGCGCTTCTACTAGTATTACCGCGTCGTACGCCGATGTTGTAAGATAAGACGCGTTACTCGCACGCGCGACTTGAATATATATGAATGAACGACGTTCGGGTTTTTTGACGACTTTGAAACGACTTTCGAAACGCCAGCTTCGTGCGAAAGAGGTCGAAAATGTCACACCGACTATTTCAAATTCGGAGAAGATCACACGCACGGAATTGTATCAGTTACGTTCTTTTTGTGATCGAAAAGCAAAACGGAGAAATATTCTTCACGATACACTCGATAAAAGTTAGGCGGGAACTCGCTTCCGTTATTCCGCCTGCTGCTTCAACTTTACTTCTTGTCTTCGATTGAATCGGCGAGATTATAAACTTATCGAGGAAATTCATATGTTTACGCATTTATACGTTTATATTCGATTATTTTATATCCGAGTGTTGCAAACACAAATTCTGCGTGCGACCAGGTGTTAAAAATGTTCCTTTTAGCTGCGGTCTTCAGCAACGTCTGCATTTGAAGTGACAAGAGCGCATGTTCACGCAAAATAGAGATAAATACTTCGTAATATTTTGTTTTACAACATTAAAAAAATAAATACTGTATATAGATATAAAAGTGTGTGACTGAAAAGGACAGACCTATAATTTTCGATGTATTGAGAAATAGATAATTTTTATCAATTTGCTTTCAAGAGGCTTTGCGTGTTAAAATATTGCTATTATAATAACGTCAATAAGAATTGTGTGAGATTAATTGCCAGTTGAAGAAACTTTCTGTAGTAACAATTATTCGAACTATTTATCATATTTTGTACGTTCACGTATAAATCTTAAAATAATATTTTTGTGACGCGATCAATTACAAAAGATATTAACTGTAAGCAAGAATATTATCAATCGAAATAATGTAAATTTATCCACCGACGGTTGCTTTCACACCAGCACCCTTCGGTTATCCTCGGGCTGAGACAGATACGAAAATTTATCGACAGTTGTTGGTCTGATGATTGATCGATTCAACTGTTGAAAATATCCTGAAGACGCTTCGGACATCTAACACTCCCTATTTATTCAAGTATCTTTCAGACACTTTAGACACTCACGTTGCTTCGATTATCGCTACAAAGATAACTACTGCCAACGAATAAACCATCTATTGAACTTCAATTCGCCGACGCGGATCGTACACACAAGCGACATCTTGAAAGAACGCCGTCCCTCCGTCGAACTTAAAAATTTTCTACCACCGAACCACTCAACCACCGAACAAAACTCCGAACGTAGTTGCAATTTTTATTAACAGTATCTGTCGCCGCGGCATCGAGAATTCTGAAGTTCTTTCATTATCACAGCACATTATCGAATTCCGTTACGGCGCCTCGGTTTGACGTGGAATCCGAAGATTCGGGCGCTACGCTCCTGAGTCAGAACGGTGGCGCCACCCGGCTGTGCAACTACAGCACAGAGTAGATCAAGTTGAACCGCTATATACATTCGTATCTAGATGCTCGAACAGTCTATGCCGTTCCGGGAAAACGTAGTCTGCGCGCTTCCGTCTGTGATAATCTTTCGTATAGAATCCGAGATCTCGCCGGCGCACAAACAAGGCCTCCGCTCGTCCCCGAAGAGGCGCGACACCCTCCCCGCGATCCGTCGGCGTCCCCTTCGACGACCCACCGTTCCACGAACCCTCTTCCTTCACCTGTCGCTGCTCCATCTGCAGTTCCCGTCACGGCACACCGCTACATGCGTTGTCGTTCCAGCGTGAAGCTGCACGAGGACACGGTTTTATCATCGGGGCGCGAGAACGAGCCACCTCGCGTGAAAACATGTGCGAATTTCCTCTCACGACTCTCTCTCTCTCTCTCTCTTTCTCTCTCTCCGATCGTCCGATTAACTGATCACCGGCGCCCGGCTTGTTTAGAAATACCGCGTAGCGCGACCTAATCTAGCCGCCCGAGCCTTTGACTACATAACCTGTCAGTCACCCGGCCTTTGCGTCAATACAAACATTAACCGCTCTGTCTGACGCTAACACACGTTATCGATGCGATATTCGATAGATTCGGATCGATGAATTAAACGACTCTTGTCTCGCTCATCGTTACAGATGCACCGCACGGACAATGGCACGATGGTCGACGGTGCTGTCCGGGGTGTTCTTGGCTCTCTCCATGGTCCTGTCCCTGGGGAAGCTGCTGATGCTCGCCGCTCGGACTGGAAACAATGGGGAACTCACGGAGGCGGACCAGTGGCTCGCCGAAATCGGCCTCGAGCAGTATCGCCCGCTCTTTAGGAAAGAAGGTGAGTGCTCAACGATCAGACCGTGAACCGGGACCTGATCACAAAGTTCATCGTAACCACTTCCGACGGAATCGTGAAGGTACGTGGGCGAGTCAACGCATAATGACTGATGTGAACATAGGTGATGCGACAGATATGGTTCGCATTTACGTCAATCATTGTGCGTTACCTTGTGACTCCAACATAGATCTCTAGTTGGAAAGGGTTAAGATAGACCTTGGTTTCATTTTGAGCGCTCACGCGTTGTAAAGGACTGCCTACGATAACCTCGAAGTACGCAGTAAGACGTAAATACATCCAGAAAACATTAAGATGTCTCAAGATGTCATAAGACGTCTTTGAGACAATAAAACGCCGGAACGATGTCTTTTAATCTAATCTCATTGGTCGATTCAGCTAGTTAGCTGATGCAATTGGTCAATTCCGTTGAGTTGATCGTTCGACGATAATCATAGTTCATAATTCCTATCTGTGTTATCACGTGAGAGTAATAGTGAATGACGAATGACAGCGATTTAAAATCGTCGATTAGATTTAAGCCACAATGGTAGAACATAAGTCCTTATCTGAAGAGAGTTTCAACTCCGGTTAAGGTTAAGGTTTAATCGACCTTCGGGTAGAAAGATGGCCAGAGGAGAAAGGGATTACCCACGATTATCAAGCTGTAAATGATCTGTTATAATTGCTTTGCAACATCGACCTGCGTGTCGGAAGTGTCTGAATTATTTCCCGACATCGAGGTTGCAAACTACGAATTACCGGCTAATGAAACAATCTCCATACGTATGTAACGACCTGAAATAGGACGATACACGAAGGTTGCGTCGGCAGTTGCGCAAGGATTAGCTTGCAACTCGCGTACCGCCGAGCCGATGTGTGGCGACGTAAGCCGACCGCACGAAACGGTGATATATGCTACAAGATAAGTTATATG